GCTAGTAAGTTATCCTTGCTTATTTACAAGAAGATCAACCAAAACAATCGTGTTAAATTAATACCTTAGCAATATTTGTATTCCCTGACTGTACTCCCATCTCTCTCTCAATGGTCTAGAAAATTAAAACCACCTGTGAAGTTGTACATTATAAAATTAAATATCTGGAAGCTAAATACAGTGCATAATAAAAAAAAAATCTATAATACGCATGAATATTTGTAAGTTCATAAGCATGTTAAGAACCCATTGAATGGAATGATGCTGAAAATAATTATGAAATATATTAAGATTATTAGGTATTTTCCTGGATTATAATTTATATTTACTTTTTTGACAAATACAAATCATTTTATGTAACTATTTTATTTATAAGGAGAGGGCAGTTGAAAGGGCAGAAAGGTAAGTATAGTTGTTTTTTTTTTTTAAAGAAATTCTGAGTCTTTAAATCTTCTTATACCAAGAATATTCCATTTTCTGACTTCAAAAATGGGAGATAAACATCCTAAAATTGAGTGCTATTTCAGTCTTTTTATGACTATATAAGAATAAAAAGAAAAAATAAAATTATGAAAGTTTCTTTAGTAATCTTATTACAGCAATGGTTAATATTGAAGATAAACATTGCTTTGAACTTTCTGTTGTATACTCCATGTTCGAATACTTACACATCTTGCTTTTAAAAATAAGAGACCTTCCTTTATTAGTCTATATTTTAGGGAGGATCAGCATGCCTCTGAGGAAATTATATCAAAATGCATAAAATTTGCAAGGAAACCTTGTAGGTTAATGATCTTTTATGTCCTTGGTTTTAGGAGCAAAGATTCATTAAATTCATATCAGATTTTCCAAAGCCAACTCCTTCCTTCTTCCTAGTTTAGGCACAGTTATAAAGCCAGGTTTTCCTATTTCAGTATCTAAAAATTAAGATCCTAAATAGATAATGAGGCAAATAAATAAATAAAAAAAAACACAAGTCAAAGTGCTTAATAATCGAAGAAATTCTCTCAAATTTTATGAAACGCTGTGGTCCTCACATGCTCTTCAAACAAAATAATTCAAGCAAGGACAGTGCCTCAACAGGTCAGCCATGAACTAGAATTCCAGCTTAGAACCACACCATATGTCAACTAATTGCTGCAACTTGTATGTTGCGGCATTTTTGAGAGGTTATAATTTGGAAGTCATGAGATTCATTGCCTCCTTTCCTGCACAGGAAAAGCAGAATAAATATAACTTCTAGAAATTCCTCTATAGCAAAATATGCAAATGAAGTTCTTCTCCAAAGTAAGTGTGGGCATCCACACTGTCTATGAAAATACAAAGAGGTTTAGGAATATGAATAGAACATTGTACAATTCTACGTTTTTACTGCATGGTTACTTAAGAGGAAAATAAACTTTACATCAAGAAAATGCATTTTTGACAGGCAGACCCTGAAGCTTTTCAAGATCCCATGAACTCATCTGTGTTTTATTTTTATTAGTTTACACAGTGGTGATGACCTACTTACAACAATTGAGTGTTTCTGATCCTGAGGGGAAATATGTGCCTTCAAGAAAGTTTTGAATTAAGAGACCAAAAGTGTCTTATATGGTTGACAGAGAGAATTTTCAAAAGTACAGGAGATGATGGAAGAATTTCTGAAGCAAGAGTAAGAAAAGAAAAGTACACCTAAAGCCTGAGGAGTTGAACCCAAGTAAAAGAACAGATAGACAGAGGACAAGGAGAAGTTCAAGGTTCATACCCTGAAGCAAGTCAAAAGCTCAGAAAACACAGCTCCAACAATTTCATATGGCCATATTTTCCCACAGAGTACTGTTTTATTGTTACCTTAGTATGAGGTGGATTTTGAAGCTGCTGTTTTTCTTAAAACTCAACTTGAGCGTGAAATTTGAACTATAGTCACACCCCAAAATTACATTCCAAAATTCATAACTGTAAAATGAAGTCTTTTCAGACTTTGTCTGTTCCTTGTTGGTTAGAGATCCTGAAATGCAAAAGTCCAGATTTCTATCTCCAATAGCTTCACACAGATACCTTTCACACTTCTCAGATCCCAAGAACCTTTTGATGAGAAGTACAATAAACAGTAAGCCATAGCTGGAGTGAAAACGAGGGATAAAGCCCTGAGGCTATGCTGCTAGCTAATTCACCCAAGACTCAGAAAGGAGTAAACAGAAACTATAATACCTTTCGATCTCACTATGTAGTTTCTCACATAGCATATACCTTTTTTCCACTTATCGCCTCTCCTGATTGAAATTTACTATCCTACAAATAGCATGTAGGAGTCTTTACCACGTGAAGAAGCCTAGCATCCCAATCATCACTACAACAATCTCTCAAGGCTAGAGAGTAAAGAATAGGAAATAGTCTTGAGGCATGCACAATTTTTTTCCTATTAAGTTACAATCACAATAGAAAAACACAGTCATAGGGCTCCCTGATAAAGAGCTCAAAGATCTTTCCATACAAAAGGGAATTAAATCCTCATAACTAACTCTTTTTGTCTTTTGTCTTACATAAAAAATCTCTCAGTTGCAATGTATCTCCCATTATTTATCATTCAAGGATACTGTCTTATTTGCCTGAGGTAATCTAGGTATATTGTGAACATAAAGGTTAAAATTGCTGTGCACAGCACAGACCAGAATATTCAGAGCAGACTTAGAGAGTAGGTAGTTTCCTAATGAAAATATCTGGAAAAATGTTGTACTGGGTAAAGAAATGTTTCTCTCTATAAAAAAATAATTGCCCTGGAGTTCCAAATTCTGTGAACACTGTGAGTACACAGATTGTTAGCCAAGGATATATTATTGCTTTTTTCAATACTACACTGAAATTCTCCTGACATTAGGGAGAAAAATTGTCAATTACTTTCAAAAAAATTGTCAATTTCTTTCAAAGCTGCAGATGAAAGGGATATTTGACAACTAAATAAACTGTAATGCCAAGAACAGGGTTTTCATTTGTAGAGTGGTACATGTATGTCTACAGTAGTAAGTACAAGTGCCTAAGACTTCTACCAATATATGCTTATAGCTTTTATCTTTTTATCCATCCTTTTTTGGGCTGGAGCTTGTCTTACTCTTTAATTTCATGCAAAGACTTAATGAAGCATAACTTCATAGAACAAATGAATGACCACATCGATTGAAAAGATAAGAGATTAACATATTGAAACGGATGAATATCACATGATTTGATAAAGATTTGAATTGTTTATTTGTTGGGAACTGCTGCAGGGCTCAATTTGCCTTTGCACTTCTATCCCTCCACTCAACTTTGGAGAAGTCGTTCTGGCTATACAAATATGACAGCTTTCAACTCAACAGTCCCGGAATGAAGAATGAGCCTTGCACAAGCACATGCCAAGGGCTAAAAATTTATTTTTATTTTATTCTAAATTATCACTAACACTAAGGTATAAGATTTTTTAAAAAGTACACAGTAAACACAACACATTGTAAAAGAGACAGTGAGCTGACATTTCTGCTCATTCACAAACTGTGAAACTGCTGAAAACAGGTTCCATTATTAATGGTGCTCATAAGATTGTTGTTTAGTAACAATTTTAAGACAGCTTCACACTGATAGTCACCCTTGGAGTACTCTTAGTAACTGGCCTGACTATAAACTCTTGGATAGGTCCAACAAACACTTCAGTACAGGGTTCATTTTAAGCACATTTTGCTTTGAATGTTTGCTTTTTTTGTGCGTGTGCAAATACATTTTTCCTGGAGTAGAAGACTACTTTTTACCTTGTGATTTTTCAAGTGCTTCTAGGGAAGTCTTATCTTTATGAAATCTAACAAGTTTAAGTATTTTGGAAAGCATACATGGTTTTTTAAAGTACCTATCCCCACGTAGTCCTGACAGCGATTTAAACTAGCTATGGATTACTCTTAAAAAAAGAAAGGCTATTTGTTAAAGTTTGCATAAGAGCTTTTTCATTAAAATTATATAGGTAGAAAGATGGAACATAAATTGAAGATAGAAGACTTTAAGCTGTATCACTAATCATTGACTACTAGAATGTTTTAGGAGCTCTTTATTGTAGATCCATACGTCTGTGAGCATGACAGGAGGCTATGGATGTTACTCACATAAACTGCTTGCTTTTTAAGACCCAATTTCATCTGTTATCTGCTAATGCCATACACTAAACAAAGTCACTCCATACTGTCCTAAACTGACACATCACAACTGGAGCTCATAACTCTTTCACATACAACACAGCCTTTTATCTTCAGGATCAGGAAGACCAAACTGTTTTTACATTATTTTAAATATAGAATCATAGAATTGCTCAGGTTGGAAAAGACCTTAAATATCATCGAGTCCAACCACAACCTAATCATATTAGGTCTCCTGACTTTTTGCTTTTTTTTGTAAAGTACTTTTTATTTAAAAAAAAAAAAAAAAAAAAGGCCAAAAAAAAACCAGACTCCACATTTCACAGCCAGGTTTTATTTAGTGATATAAACCACCACAGATAGTTTAAGGTAAGCAACCATAATTTATGTATTTAATGAAAAGATATCTGAAATACGAGTATTTTCCAAGCCTGTTCCAGAACCTATGGCTAACATTCTCCCTCACAAGACTCAATTTCATTACATTGTTTAATTATCAAAATATAGTATATTAACATAGAAACAAACATAATTTTGTATTCTCCAAATTTTTGGATGCCTTGTTTCATCAATTAAATACCCACTTATTTGCAGTAATCATCATAGCATACAAACATATTCAGGATTCTAGTGATCTCAGAAACCTGAAGAAACGTAACATACTCCAACCTCAGGAATGCCTTCATATTTTATAGCTATACCACTTCGTGTTTTATATCAATAGCTCTTTCTACAATAATCTAAGTGTACAATTAACAAACATACAGTTAGAAGAGTAGGATGGTTAGGATGGTATTTTACAGGCTTATAGTTAGAAAAATTATCATGACAGAAAGAGACAATCAAAAATGAAATGCTTACCTGTGTCCTAAGCTCACAGTAGAAAACTCCAAAAGAAGAGATCCCCAAAAAGAGAACCTTCCCCCACCCCTTCTGATCACACAGCTGAACTCCCACCAATCAGTTGTTCAGGCCATGGCTCAACAGTTCCCATACAGTAAGTCATCAGAGACATAAAATGTAATGAAATCTTACTGGGAAGGCTCAGTTTCTATTGCTATACCACCAACATCCACCTCCGATGTAGTGGACCAGCATCATAAAATAGGAGGCATTATTTTCTAGGCAGCCCTCATCACCTACATAAATATATATTCATGTGTAAACAGCCAGAACTCAGTAGTGTTTCACGCTTTAGAAAATGCCCAACTAAAAAAAAAGCACCAAATATTTGATGTCATAACAAAAGTATTGATATTTATTTTCCTGTTTTAAGTGTCATGAAGTACATATGCCATCTATGTAATACAGGATTTGAAACCTTTGCCTCAAAGATATACTCTGCTCAGAAGTTCCTAAAAAATCAGATGGAGTTTGTAGGTTTCCCCAAAGGATTTTGCCCTTTTGTCTGATACTTTTTTTTTTTTTTTTCATATTATAGAATACACACTGTGTAGATACTTGTACATTCCTGCAAAACCACAGACGTGTAACAGAAGAAATGCACATGGGATATGAATAGATAAAGTGATTTCTGAAGCTGATTCAGGCTACGTATGATTTTAAATATAACTTGCCCCTGAAGTTTAGATATAATGTCTCTGAATGAGGCATTCTTCCTGTAAGATTTTTCTGTTGTATGTATATTAATTTTCCTCCAGCTTCACACAGGAGTCCTACCTTGACAATTATGATTTACCACTAAGCATTTCTGTTGTTGTTATTTAGTGGCAGGCTTCTTTTCTTTGTTCGTTGTCTAGCTTGTATTCAGGAAGAAGTTACAACCATAAGATGGAATCCTGAAGTAAATATTACTTCAAATCAGATACAAATAGAAATACAAATTAATCATCACAGCCACTAGGGATTTTACAATACTCAATGACAGTGCAAATGTTTTCACTTGTTACTAATGGAATACTTAATAAAATTTAAAGTGGACAAAATAGCAAATGCCTTCGGACATCACACAGCAGTCTAAGATTTAGAAGATCAATGACTTCACAGTTAATTCATCTCTTTTAATTATTAACAGTGCAAAATATACTCACTATTTTCTAAGATATCCAAAAACATATTTAAATTTCCTCATTAAGTAGAAGTAGCTTTCTGAAGAGCAGTTATCTCTTTTGGCAAAGTTAAATCAACACTAGTTTACTAATTATCATCAAATAATGCAAGGTTAAGCCTCTTCCAATTAGGGGCATTTCAAGACAAGCATATAACTAATACTGTAACTAGTAAATGATCTCCTGCAATGCACTCATCATCAAGCCTACCACTTCTACGACAACAATCTCCCCATGTGCTCCTGAGAATCCCTGCATGAACTTTTACTTTTCCCATCTAACAAGAATGGGCAGCAAGTTCATTTTATAGGAGATAATAACTGGAAACAAACAAAGATATAAACTTTGCATGTTCCAATCCAACAACTATTTTGAATGCTGCTGGATATCATGAATAGTACTAGAATTATTTTTCTAAGAAAAAAAAGAAAAGGTAAACTCTTACTACTGTATGAATATCTTACAAGAAGGACAGGCTGCAAAAAAAATCTGTCAAAATACTCAGTGCAGTAGAAGAAGGTATATGTGTTTGGAAATATCTCTACTACAACTGCACACAAGCAGCACATTTTTTCTATCCTTGAATGTCCTACTAGTAGAAATAAGGAAAAATCTCCCTGTTTCCGAAGATCATTTTATAGAACTCTCAAAAATCTTTCTAAAATCATAAGATTGCTAAGAACTGAAAATTACTTCTTTCTAGAAATCAAATCACTTCCTTGTTGCTCACAAAAGAATAGTTTCTAAAGTGCATAAAACAACATTTTTTAAGTGTTTTGCACTGGTATATATTTGCACCTATGGGTCTTGTTATTTCTTTTGCTTCAATTTTTCTTGCAAAAAAACCCAAAACATTTTGTACAGGACTTAAAGGGAAATATTTCCAGTTTCACACAGGATTCCTAGGCTGTTACACAGAAATTCTGACAGAAATTTAAACACCATAGATCCATTCTGTCTTCCAATATTTCTTCTCATATTATGCCCCAAAAGTTATACCAACTAGGTTTGTAGAAAATTCTAGCTTTTGCTACCAAATAATGTTATAGAGCTTGTACATACTAGAATATAAAAATAAATTAAAAAAAAAAAAAAAAGATTTCAAGATATGCAGTAAGTAAAAGAGATAAAATAGGCACAGTAGCAACTAATGATCTCAAAGAGGGGAGGGTGGGTGCTTATCTTTAGTCATAGCTTTTGATTATTTTGATTATTATCATATTCATAGTTTTAAATCTTACTATCAGCTGCAGTATCACTTATCTTTTGAGGTGTAACTTAAAATACTTAAAATCCTTACAAATACTTCAATATTTTTTAAAAAATGGACATGTGGGAAATCAATCAGTTTATAACTCAACCAGTTACAAACCTACAGATTCATGAGAAAAATAATGGAAAAATAATGCATATGCATCCTTCTCCATAGTCAGCCTATATGTACTGGCTAGCAACCACATTCGTACCTGGAATGAAACATGAGCATATAGAAGCCTTCCTCCAAGCAAGCACCGCTGCTTTCAGATTGGACCCCTGAGAATCATGGAAACTAATAAAGCTTTTCATACACAACTGGGACTATTTGTGTAGAAGCACAGCTCAATTTAAAAATATGGAATGTGCATGAAATGTGAAATAAGATCTATAAATTTTAAAATACATACTTGTTTATCTTAAAATATGTAAACTCATGTTAAAATGTAAACTCTATTCATATTATTATAATTTACATGGAGAAGTATATATATATTCTGCTTGCTGGTTTGTTGTTTGTTTGTTTGTTTGCATGTTTTATGTGTTCCACCTTTTTCAACAAGCAGAAATATACCCTGAAAAAGAGTTTTCAGATAGCAAGGTCTCAACAGTTAGCAATACATGTAAAAAATTTTTTTCTAAGAAGGAAACAAACAAATAAAAAACTGATTTTTAAAGCAGAAAGAAATGCAACACCATTGTATGCAATGTTGGAGTGAAGAGATTTATTATCTGGCTATAAGCATGAATGAAAATATCCCTTTAAAACTGAAGCATTTATCTTCACAGGAATTTTTCCTGGACACTGAGGAGACTGACCCTGCACATACTGAAAAGCAGTATATCTGACAGTTTAAAAGTTGTTAATTTAGGGACAAATACTAATCTAGCAGATACTTACACTCATGAACTTTAGAGTTATATAGAGTATTAATTTCCTAACTAACCCACCAGGGAGATGCGAAGAGCTTGTTACTGGTGTTAGAATATATATTTCTGTTGGTTTCTTTTGAATAAGGAAACATTATTTATCAAGGCTGATTAGTGGACTTAGTACAAATACTGTGAGGTGCCTCGGTGATAACTGGTCCTTTGGTAAATAATTAAGAAATAAAAGAACACTAAAAACAGTAATAATTATATCTCTCTAGAAAAAAAATACTCCAAATCCTTGTTCATCTCCATGAGAACATCATTCTGGGCTTCCTGCTGCTAGTGCTATTATATTGGCATTATTTTGTCACATTAGGGACACTCAGTTCCCACCTTCAGAGGATAAGTGTTAGTACAAAAGACTCAAATACTCCGAGGTGAATTAGATGTAACAAAATTTATACATGAATGGTAACCTATTGAAAAGCCAAGTAGGAATCAGCACTGAAGATCAACACAATAGTAAATGTAGAAGCTTAAAAGTAATGCAATAAATATTATATTAACTAAACCATCATGTCAGGTAACAGGGGCACTAACACAGATTTGAGCAAACTTTCTTATAAAAAACAGACAAGAAGCATCAGGCAAGTGTGTTGTTTGATGAGAAAAAGACTAAGCTCTTGCAAGAAATTTCCAGTACATTTTACCCGTTCAACTGTTCATCAAAAGAATTTAAATTCTATTGAGTGTTTAATAAAATTAAAATTGTATTAAGAGTTTTATACATTTGTATTAGTGAAGAAAGTTTCAAACAAGCATATGAGAATACAAATGTGAATATTTTTATAAGGGTTCTTTATTTAAATTGTTAAATACCATGTTGGAAAACCAATTGTCACTGTAACTAACACTTTGCAGTTACTAAGAAACAAAGCTGTACGAGTCCTTCCTTTAATCACTGCAATTATGATACGTATTTCAATTTAGTACATGTCAACAAAGAGTATTTTAATTTCTCTGCAGATAAAGGCACCGTGTGTGATGTATAATGTGAATGGCATAAATGGAAGTCACAATCTATCCTTCATGACTTTCTGATATGACTAAGACTCAGTTTTATCTTAATCATTAATCATTGTATCTTAATATATCTGCCTATACTTCCGCGCCACAGTGAGCTGTGTGTTGCCCTTCTGTTGTGGAGTACGACACATTCAAAAGATGTTTAACATGCATGGCCATCCATTCAGAAAAAATGCTTCTATGTCAATTCTTTTGGAAAAACAAAACAAAACACAAACCACTTTATTTATAATTTATAGTGAAACGAGGGGTGCTCAACAGTGGATTTTTCTGGAATTAAAGCCCCACTCTCCACATTCCTTCAAATGAGAAATGAGCAAGTTCCTTGCTTGTTTATGAGGGATGCTCCAAAAGTAATGCTTCCTATCTTATTACGTTGGTCCACAACATCAGAGGTGGATGGTGGTGATATGGCGGTAGAGATTGAACCTTCCCAATAATATTTCATCACTTTTCGTTGTTGGATGAGAGATGGCACTAGAGAGGCAGTCTGACAAAATGGAATATAACACGGGAGTGCATATGAAGAAAAGGCATGGAATTTAATTCCTTCATGCAGAAAAAATGGCACCCATTAACATTCATTAATGCTTGCTGAACATTTATGAAGACCAAACAGTGGAGGTGTGCACAGTGGT